CACCCGTGTGCACCCACCTGTGTGCACATGCATCTGTGTCCCTGTGTGGGGAGGCAGGGCAGGGTATTGGTTAAGAGCTGCGACTTCCCCAGGGCTCTGTCACTTACTGATGACTCAGTCTCTGACGCGCCCCCTAGGAGTGGTTGTGAAGATGAAAGGCTGTGAGTGTTAGATCCTCGGCCTATGTTAGACACACGCTAAGTCCAGGAGGAGGAGAAGTGAGGTGGGGACAGTTTCATTTCCTTTTCTGTGCTGCTTGAGAATTTTTCAACAATGTCACGTGATGTATATCGAACATATTGTACCCGAGCCCTACTGCTGCCCTGACAGATGAGCACAGGCTGTTCAGGCGACACGAGGGCACCAGGTGTCGGACCGGTGGGGTCACAGCAAACCTGGGTTCAGCAGCCTCGGTCCTTGGGTTCTGGCTGGGAAAGGATTCAGAGCCAAGACCCAGACTGTAAGAGAACGTTTCTTTGGTAAATCACAGAGATAGAAGTAATTCCTAGAATAAATGGGCTTAGGCCCGGCCGGTGTGGCTCAGTGGTTGAGCGTCGTTCCATGAACCAGGAGGTCACGGCTCAATTCCTGGTCAGGACATCTGCCCGGGTTGCAGGCTTAATCCCTAGTAGGGGGCGTGCAGGAGGCAGCCGATCAATGATTCTCTCATCATTGATGTTTCTAACTCTCTATCCCTCTTCCTTCCTCTCTGTAAAAAATCAATAAAATATATATTTTTTTAAAAGGAAGTAGTTTAGGAAGCAAGTTAAGAGGTAACGGAAGGGCCCTTGGAGCTTGGGAGTGAGGAGGTTAATGGTAACACACCTGGGGGGTGGGGGGAGGAGGAAGAGGAATAGGAAGGGGCGGGTAAAGGGGAAGGCGCAGCGTGCTTCCCAGAGGGAGCGGGAGAGCTCACGGGTCCTCCTCCGTCCTAAGAGGGGTTTTTTCTTTGTTTTTTTGTTAATCCTCACCCGAGGACATTTTTTTCAATTGATTTTCTAGAGAGAATGGGAGGGGGAGACACAGAAATGATGTGAGAGAGACACATCGACTGGTTGCCTCCCACACGCCCCCCGACCCGGGGCCAGGATCAGGCCTACAACCAAGGTACGTGCCCTTGACCGAAATGGAGCCTGAGACCCTTCAGTCCACAGGTCAACGCTCTAACCGCTGAGCAAACCGGGTAGGACCCCCCTAAGGGTTTAAGGGTGGCAGTTTTAGGGGAGATGCTAGAATATGCAGCAGCTTTCCAGGTGTGCCCTTTCAGGGTCGCGGTCTCGCTGATTGCTTGGCGTGCACCAGGAAGGGGGTCATCATTCCAGGCACCTGGCCCTGACGCCAGCCCCAGCCGAGGCTGGTTTTGGTGCTTATCTGGGCCTGGAGCTGACGTACAACTGAGGCCCAGATGTTCTCTAGGGAGGAAAGGTCCGGGGCCCTGGTCTGAACCCCGTGACTAGTGTAGACTAGGGGAGGATGGTCCCCCTGGGGCAGGTCCCACCCTACAATTGATTGTCCGTTGCTAGGCACCTGGGGCTGTCCACCCCGTGATCTGTACCCGGCCCATCGTCCTTGCTCTGCTCACGTCTGTCTTACTGCCTCCCACACAACTAGGTGGCTTCAAACACTGAAGGTCCGGGTGGGGCAGGCCTTCGCTGGCCCCTAGCAAGGGGCCCTCAGCATCAGTTTGATTGACCGATGGCTGTATCGTGACCTGGCCTCTCTCCCTGCAGCTGGAGCCAGAGGGCCTGTTGGTGTGGGTCTTGGCGGGCGCCCTGGGCCTCAGCCTCGTCTGTTCCCTGGTCGCGGTCCCGCTGCAGTGCTTCCAGCTGAGCAAGCTCTACGGCTTCTGCCTGCTCCTCTTCTACGTGAGCTTCCTCGTGGTGGCCCTGCTCACCGAATTTGGGGTGATTCACTTGAAAAGTGTGTGAGTGGAGCTGTGCGCCGGGTCCACCTGGTGGCCGGGAGGTGTCACTGCAGGCGGTGAGCTGGAAGATGGATGAGGACGGAGACCGAGGCGCCTTCGGTAGAGCCCGCGTGGGCATGCGTGGCGGGCGCGCGGTGTGGGCTGGATCGAGGGGTCGCTCGCTTTGCTAGAGGTTCCCAGGCACTGCTGTGTGCAGGGAGGAAGCCAAGCCTCCTTTCTGGGGCTGTGGAGACTGGACCTGAGGGGGCGGACAGTCCCAGGCGGAAGGAAGGAGCCTTCCTTGTTATCGCGAGCCTCTCGAAGGTGGGGTGTAGGGGGTGCCGGGGTGCCGTTCAGCTGGTGTTGGAAGGATCGCGAAGTGTTCAGGGCTGGAGGCGACTAAGAGGCCCAGCCCCACCCGTAGGTGTCCCTGCCACCCACCTGCATCGTCTCAGGGCTCACATGCTGCCAAACCCAGGCTTAGGGACTCAGGACGGTGGGGCCGTGGACAGGGCGCCTGAGGTGCCTGGGCCCCGGGCCGTCGTGGGCCGAGTCCTAGAGCTGCACCGTCCGACAGAATGGGAATGAATTTTCTAGTCACCACGTTAATAAAGCCCGAAGAAGCAGGTGACGTTTTCACAGAAATGTGTTTTATTGAACCCAGAGGCTCCAAACTGTCAGCCCACGGCTCGGCTGCCACACGGACGGTACAGCTCTAGGCTCCACCTCCGGGACCACCCACTGGCTGAAGGCAGACTCCTGTGTCCTGCTCGTTGGGTTTTCCGGCTGCAAAACCAGAGGGGATTTGTGCCTTGTGCCTACCTCAGGGGGACCCCTGGGCTGGGGTTCCAGTGCCCCCACATTCTGGGGAGGACCAGGCACCCCACCCCCACCCCCACCCGCCATCAGTGACCTGCTTCAATTAGCACCTGAAGCATTTGCCTCATTGCCTTATGCCGGCAGGAAAGGGATTCAGCTGTCTTTTCTTCCCGAGAAAAGTTATTAAATATTTCAAGTTTGAAGGTTGAAGGTTCTTGGGCCTGATGTATGGGCTTTGGGGCACATGTGGGGGTGGGGCTGGGGCTGAGCTGGGGTCGGGAAGGGGACCTCCCTGCATCCCCCACGATCGCAGAATGTCGATGTCAGGAGGCGGCAGCCACACTTACAAAGCAGAGGCGCTTTTATTAATATGCCAGAAGCCGGAGACACCGTGGGTTTTCTAGGTAACAAATCGCCAACGTACAAAACCTTACAGGGCCATTCCTGCTGTCCGTACAAAATGATTGTCGCGTGGTGTGGAGTAAGGCGGGGGTGGGGGGCAAGGAGGGGCCATGACGGTCACAGACAGGTCGCTTGACCCAGGCAGCTCGGTCTCAGCGTGGTTTCGCAGCTGCGTGGGGAGTGAGGGCGTCTGGGCTGGTGATGTCCCGGGTCCCGCAGAGCTCACAGCCCTGGGACTCCTACTCCCTGTGCCCGTGCGCAGGTTTGAGGACCAACTTGACCAGGCCATGGAGACCCTGGGACAGGCGCCGACCAGTGACTGCACTAAGCAGGTCTAGACTAGACCCTGCCCTCCTGTGCCAGCCCTCACTGTGGGCCGCAGGGCCCCTGTGGGCAGAGGAAGGGGTTAGGGTGAGGCCCGAGGCTCAGGTGGAGCCCTCCTGCTTCCGAAATGCCCGTTTCAGTACAAAAGCTACAAGGCACCCAGTTGTGCAAATAAGTTTCCTCTCGGGAGGTGGAGAGGTCCTGGCCCGGTGCCCAGCTGCCCGATGGCCCCTGACAGGCTGCCAGCCTCCTGCCCCCTGTGGGGATCCCAGTGGCTTCCTGGTGTCCCCAAAGGGCTGTGCTTTAACGAAAATGCCCACTCCTCTCCCGGGAGGGGCAGAGCTGCGCACTGTGGGTTACAGGGATCAGCTGGGCCTTGGAGAGGGTGCTGGGTACTGTACCCGGGGTCAGGCCTGCCCTGCTGGGAACCTCAGCCCACCCGCCCTCCTAAGCCACAGGAGGCTGTGGAGGCAGCTGAGAGCAGGGGCCGCCCCTGCCCCCCTACCCCTGCACCCCTTTGCCTCCAAGCTCCCTCCTCTGACCCTGCTGTGCCCTCACTGGGGCTGCCAACCCCAACAGCCTGCTTCCGATTCGAGCACCGAGGCACCCCACCCACTCTGACCTCAGCTCCCCAGGCACCAGGGGGACTCGGGGCGCCATGGGTTCACTCACACCTGCTTCGGCACCAGCCACGCCTCCCGGTGAGGCCCTGGTGCCCAGTAGCAGAGCTAATGCACAGTGTGAAGGGCTTGAGCAGAATCCTGAGGAACCTGCACATCTTTCTGCCTGGACAGCCCATACAAGCAGGGGGAGGGGCTCAGTGGAGAAAGCTGTTGCCGGGATGGGTCTGGGTGTAGCCCTCAGCCTCACCCTTGCTCCCCACCCCCGTCCCCCTTCCGTGCTGGGCCTGGATTCCAGCCGAGGCTGTTAGGATTTTCAGCAACCAGAGTTGAAACCTGACCAAAAGGGGGGTGGGACAGAAGGCTTAGAGCCAGGACTCGAGACGCGCCAGGCACTTGCCGGCCAGCACCGGCCGAGACCTGACCACTGAGACCTGACCACATGGTACAGTCACACCGATTCCACTTTCCATTAGGTCATGGGCACAGGTCCCCGAAGGACCGTCCTATTCCATTATCACAGAGAAATACACACCCGAGGATGTGGGTTTTCTCCTTCGTAAGTGGTTTTGTCCCTAAAGCAAGACAGAAACCCGTGACGAGGCCGCAGCGGAAGTTAATGGGGAAGCTGTCAGCTGGGACGTGAGCCTGAAGGCGTCAGGAAGACGTGGGTGTGAGTGTGGCCTGGGGAGGGCCGGCCCCCGTGAGGGCAGAGTCCATTCCAGCCGCGTTCCTGGGGAAGGGCCTTCCTTCCAGCGCTTTCTGCCTGGCCGCGCCCCAGAGCAAACTGGCTTCTGGAGTTCAGGAAAACAGGGTGAGGTTACAAACCAAACCCCACCTTGTCTGCCTGTCTTTTCCGCTGTCTCTATAAATATGTGCATATATATGGACATGTGCATATGTGTATATACACATTACTTCGATACATCGTAGTAAAATAACGCTATTGTGTTATTGCATAGAAGAGATGGCTTTCGGGAGTGAGCTGGCTTAGGTGATGGTCTGCGAGCGCTGGCGGCCGCCTGGGGGCTGCTGGGTGGCGGGGGCACCGCTGCCGTCGGACTGCTGCTGCTCCTGCTTGCGGGTGTGTTCCTCGTACCACTCCTAGGGCACAGGGCAGATGGGTGGGCGCTGAGTGGGCGGCATCCTTCCAGCCTCGGGGCTGGGGGACCACCCAGGATGGAGGAGTGGGCTGCCAGGGCCTCTTCCAGCTCCCGGCAGCGCTGCTGTGAAAGCAGTTTGAGGAAATTGAACAGCTCACCTGCCTCAGGCCATCGTGTGACATTTTCAGGGACAGGTATTCCGGTGATTAAGGAATTAAAAAACACGCCGTGTGTTTAAATCTGAACCACAGAACTTAGAGCTTAAAAAACACCACGAGGGCCGAGCTCTGTGCCCCCTCGTCTCACGGAGGGGAAACCGAGGCCGGGGGTGGAGGGCAGACCCGAGCGCGGGCTCCGTGCCGTCACCGCTCACAGATGAGAAAGGGCCCACCTGCCCGCGGCACAGAGCCAGCAATCCAGCCCAGGGCTCCGGCACCAGAGCTCCCGCTGGTCCCCTCCGCACCACCCAGTGCCCTGCAGCCTCCCAGTTTCGGGCGTGAGCACCGCAACGGTAACGACTGGGTTCCCGCTGTGAGAACGCCAGGAAACAAGGCAGCTGCTGGGAGGGAGACCCTCCGGGACCCCCGGGGGGGAGGGGAGACGCCCAGGGGAGGCAGCCAGCGGCTCTGTCCCGGACGCAGCGTGCCGGCCACGTGGTGCTGGGTAAGATGTTTGCCTCAGCTGGCAGTGTGGGAAGATGGGGAGAGTTTGTAAAAAAACACAAAACAAAATTGGCTTCTCCCTTCTCTTAAATTAGAAAAAACCCAAACAGTAAAAAAAAACACGCAGAGACCCGCTGGGCACAGCAGGCCTTACTCCTATGGTCTGTGAGGCTGGGCCTGGGAGAGGCCCCGTGCCCCTGGGCGGCGGGGCGGGCGCTCCTACCCGGATCTCCTCCTGGTACATCTTCAGGCTCAGGTCACTCTTGGTCCTGGATCTCCGCCCCAGGAACACCACGGTGCCTTGCTGTGGACGAGCAGAGGCTGCAGGCCCCACCGTGCCAGGCCCGGGCACCCACCCCTCCCCCCGCACAGGCCTTGCCCGCTCCCCTGGCTTTTACTACGATGCCACCCAAAAGTGTCACCAAACCTTGAGGGGCTGGACGGTGGGGGTGGGACTCCACTTGGCTATAGCGCCCTCTTCCCAGCCTGGTTTCCTGCCGGGACGGGGCGCTATCCTCACCTCGTTTCTCTCCATCTGGGAGAGGACCTTGAGCAGCCGGGGGATGTCCGCCGCCGCGCCCCGCGCCTCCCGGGACAGCTTGAGGACGGCGAGCAGCTCGTCCTTGGACAGTTCCTTCTCCACAGTGATGCCACCGTCAACTGCAGTGGGGAAGGGACCTGGGCTCAGGGGCCTCCTCCCCGCTGTCCCTACCAGGGTCCTAAGGTCCCTCTCCTGTCCCCCAGCCCCCACTGTGGCTCTGCTGTGGGTGTGCGGATTGATGGTCAGGCCAGCAGCTCACAGGGGACAGAGGGTTTTGGAGGCAGCCTCCAAGCAGAAAGAGAAGGGTCAGCCGGCCGGTGTGGCTCAGTGGTTGGGCCTGGACCCAGGAACCACAAGGTCTCCAATGCGATTCCCAGTGAAGGCACGTGCCCGGGTGTGCAGGAGGCAGCCGAGCGATGTCTCTCTCTCACTGATGTTTCTCTCTCTCTCCCCTTCTCCCTTCCTTTCTCACTAAAAATCTATTTAAAAACAACGTGTTTTAAAAAAGGGTCAGACAGCCTGATAGGATAGAGACTTGGAAACAAGTAGTAACAGGTATGTGGCCCTTTTGAGGGAGAGTCTGGGAAGGATGGGGGGTCAGTCTGCAGAGATCTGCGCCACCTGGAGGCGCAAGGGGATTAGGAGCCGGGACCTCCCAGTGCAGGAGAGCGACGGCTCCGCAGGCTGCAGGGTTCCCGCCCGGAAAGCCCAGGAACGCGGTGTGGAGTTTAGAAGCTGGAGACAGTGGCTGAGAGGAGGAGGCTAGGAGTGAGCAGCCTGGGGGACAGGAGATGGGGGACAGTGGGCCGGCCGGCGGTGTATACCAGAAGCCTGTCTCTGGTGTGGGATTTTTCTTACGCTGTGATGTGTATTGTTTTTCTTTGAAAAATGAGATCGAGAGCATGTGTCTGTCAGTGAGTATCTGGACATCAATGGCAGTGACAGGTCTAGAGAGACGAGCCACCTACATAAGCTGAACTGCCGGGCAGACAGACAGCCAAGCAGCAGGCAGCGAAGGCTCCCGCCCCTGGCACAGACCTTCCGAGTCCTGGTTCTTGCGGCTGAAGTTCATTCGGAAGACAAAGGCCTCGAGGATGAAGGCCACGATGATGGTCATCACCACCTGGCCGGCAGGGGGGGCAGAGAAAGGATGGGGTGGGCGCTGCTTTGGCCCCCCGCCCAGCAGAGCCGCGTGGACGCATCCCGGCCGTCCTCCCCGGGCTGCCGCCCAATGGGCAGGGCGGCTGGAGCCCCGGGTGATGGGGGACGCACGTCCGGGCGCAGACTAACCATGGTCACGATGTAGAAGGTCATGAAGTAGAGGCGGCTCCAGTGGGAGGTCTGAGAGGTGACGCCTTCCTGGAGGCAGAGGAGACAGTGAGCGGGCGCCGGGGGGCTGTCCACTCAGGCTTCCTGTGGCCTGGCACTGCCAGGCTCTTTACAGACCCCCCGCCCCCCGGTTAAGGAAGACACAGGTCCCCGGGTCTAAAATTCCTCTGCCCCACAGGCCTGGATGGTCCCCAGGGCTGAGCCTGCCCCGAGTGGGGTGGCACTTGGAAGAGTTCAGGGAAGGAAACCCCGCCACAGCTCCTAGACTGGAAAGTCTCCCCGGTGGGTGGGAGGACAGGCTGTGCATCCCCTGGCTGCTGGGGGGTGTGGAGCTGGGACGAAGGCCATGTCCAGCCAAGGAGTGCTCCTGGGCCCCCGCGGTGGCCTCCCGCAGAACGCTGGCCCTGTGGCCCAAGACACCACCCCCCGCAGGCCTTGGGAAGGGCAGGGACCCCACACTGGGTGAAGGGAGACGCAGAGCTGGCCCCAGAGGGTGAGGGGAAGGCGCTCCCAGGAGCTGGCCAAGGTCCTTACCATGATGATGTACCAGTTGTTGACAACTGTGAGCTCGAACAAGGTCACTGCCAAAGGGAAGGGGGAAGGCACGATCAGACCCACCATTTCAGTCAGAGGTCCCGGCACCAGACGCCGAAATGAGGCATCCCCATCGCCAGCCTGGGCCTCCCCAAGCGCCGCCCACAGGCAGTGCTGCCACCTTGCCTGTCCCCAGCAGGGGGTGCCCTTTGCCTGCAGCCTGGGATGGACCAGGGCTTGGGGTGGGGAAAGAGCACACAGACCTTCCTCGGTGCAGATCTGGGGATCCATGAGGCTCTCCCCGTCCTCGAGAAGCTGTGTCAGGCCTGCCCGTCCGCATCCTCTACTCCCCCTCCCCATCATCTCCCTCCTCCTCTCCACCCTCCTCCCCACCCCCATCCCCTCCACAGAACCCGGAGCAGAGCTGTGTGGGCCCCTGAACCATGAAGGGCACTGTGGCGGGTGAGGGGGTGCTGCCCTAGCATCAGGCTGAACACCCCCCTCACCCTCCCCCGCAAAGCACGAAGCTCTTCAGTCCCGACACTAAGGTATCGGCAAAGGAGTAAACCTGGCGGCTGCATGAGCCGGCCCGGCCTGGCCCGCACCCTAAGCCTGGGCTCTCACACGCTGTCTGGGCCAGAAGGGACCCGAGACAGTGGGGCCAACAGCCAGGGAGGGAGAGGTCGCAGACAGCCCTGCTCCCCGGCCTCTGGGACGTGCGGGGCTACGGCCAGGGAGTGCCCCCTGGGCTCTCCGCACTCACCGAAGCTGTTCAGGATGTTGTCGAAGTTGTTGAGATAGTAGTAGCCGTCCTCCACGACCGTCCTGTTGCCCACCGTGCGGTTGCGCCAGCGGTAGGCGTCCGCCACGGTGCTGGTGCTGCCGGGGAGACGGCAGGAGGGACCGTCACAACACAGCGGGTCCCCCCAACAGGACAGAGTGTTTAAGGAAACCAAGGTCTGAGCAGGGAGCACTGTCCTGGCCCATTTCCTGCCCAGCAACCCCGTCTCTCTGCTCTCGCTGCCTCCAGCCCCCCACCCCTTACCCGCCTCCACTGGGCATTACTCTGCTGCCGGCTGGGCGTCCTCCCTCCCTCCGAGCCGCCCTGAGACACTGCTGGGAGGGCCCCCTGGGTTTGCCGCGGCAGGTGAGGGCCGCACCAGGGAGGGGAAAGGGCCTCTCAGGGCTCCGGCCCCGGCCGGGGCTTCTCCGAGGTGGCTGCCTCTGTTCTGAGAGCTGACTGGCTGCTTTTATTTAAATCCTCGATGGCTCATCAGTTAAAATCCATGTGATGTTTCTGCAAGTCTGAGCCTCTTGCCAGGCACCCACTGCACCCGACTGGCAGGGCGGCCCTGGAACCTGCACTTTTAAGCAGTGGCCCTGTGCCTGGGAAGGCCTGTGACCCGCTCCCAGCTCAGCCTGACTCAGCAGCCACCAGCGTCTCCGAAAGTGTCTCTCTCTCGGCCTCCAGGCCAGAAGGACTCAGTATTAAAGAGGACACTGCTGTCATCCTGGTGGCTGGGAGGAGGGAGCGAGAGGTCACGGGGGGCAGGCTCCCCACTCCGTCCCCACAGACCTTCCTACGGGTGTCCATCTGTCTTATCCTAACCGGCCGCCTCTGGAGAGACGTGGAAGTAAGCCATGGGATCAGGCCACACCTGGTTCTCGCGAGGCCTGCAGCCCTCGGCCCCACGGGCCAGCTGATGGAGGCCTGGGGACAGGGAAACTGCTCAGATGCCCTCACCGCAGAGATGACTGCTTCCGGGTCCCTCCCTTAGCTACTGACTGACCTGAGCCCTGGAAGCAACGCCAGGGGATCGATTCCAGGAGCCCTAGGCCAGGCGAGGCCCCGCGGGTACTCACTTGCAGCAGTTGGGGTAGAGGATCCCGCAGAAGAACTCCATGCCCACGATGGCGAAGGAGTAGTAGAAGATGAGCAGGGTGAGGGCCAGGCTGTGGGAGGGGCAGACAGTGACGGCGGGCCGGCCAAGAGCCCGCCTGACCCACGGAGCGGGTGGGGGAGGCCTGCCCCCAGCCAGGTTCTCCGCCTGGGAAGTGCCTGCAGGGAAGGGGCCTCGTGACTCGGGTCTGGGCTAAAACACGGCTCGAAGGAGGACTCTGAACAGATGCCCCTGAGCGGAGATTCACCCCTTACCTGTGAAGGTGGACTCACAGGTGACCCCTTACCTGTGAACAGACACAGGTGGTGAGTGAGGGACAGCTCCCTGCCCGCCCCACTAACGTCTCACAGGTCAGCGGAGGGGAGTGGGGCCAGGGAGGCCTGTGCTGTCAGAGGTCAGCCGCCTCGGAGAGCCCGCAGACCCTCGATCCGTCCTTTCCGGGACTCCTCTCCCCCCTCTCCCGCCCACTGCCCACCCCCAGGGGGCACAAGCCGCAGGAGGCTGGCCCTGGGCCCGGGCAGGGCAGTACCTGGCCATCCGGGGCAGCAGCTCAAACATGGTGTCCAGCACGTTGCGGTAGCGCTTTTTCAGTTTGAACAGCCTGAGCAAGGAAGGAGGTGGGTCACGGCCTGACATGGGCGCGGCCGCAGCCCCCCCCCCTACAGCACCAGGTGGAAGGCAGGCCCAGGGCCCTCCCTCAGGACACGGGGCCGGACAGGCCTGTCCCTGCCGGGACCCAGAGCCGTGCTGTGGTCAGCGTCTTCCTCGGTGAGAGGGGGCAGCGTGGCTGTTCACAGTTTATAAACGCAGTCCGGCGGCTCAGGGCGGGCGAGGCCCTGCTCAACCCAGGGAGGCACACGAGAGAGAAGGGAGCAGAGCCCAGGCTGCAGGGAGGCCAGGGCCTGGCTCAGGGGGGAGAGGAAAGGGCGGTGGTGGCCGGGAGAGGAGCTGGCATCGGCCTGGCCACCACAACCGGGCATAGCAGCAGGTTCTGCTACAGAGAGATGCCACCCCGGACCCCAACCTCCACCTCTCCTCCCAAGGTGGACAGGGCAGGAGGGTGGACGTGTGTGGGATCGCAGCTGGTAGTCAAGAGGAAGCCAGGCTCCTGAAGATGCAAAGGGCTCACCCCCAGCTGGGAGGGGCGAGGCCGAGCGAGGGCTTTTCCCGACAGGAGGCTGTTCCCGACAAGCAAGGGGCCCTCAAAAGCCCCTTTGGACCTCAGGGCAGTGCCTTCTGGCTGAAGACGGTTGAGCCCATGTTTCTGTGGCCACAGCAGCCAGCGCCACAGGCCACGCCCACCCAAGCCCTGCCTCCCCCGACAGTGCCAGGGGCCGGTCCTGGTGATGTATGGAGAGGAGACGTGCCCTGGGGCTCAGGCCCAACCCCCCCCCCCCCCCCCCCCCCCCCCGTAGCTCGTGAGTCTTCTCAGGCTCTCCCCGCCCTCCCTGCCCGCCTGTCCCAACCCCAGCCCTGCCCGTCACCTCAGCAGCTGGAGCGGACGCAGGACGACTATGAAGTAGAAGGGCTCCATGTTGAAGGCCAGCGCCAGCAGTCCCAGGAAGGCGAAGGCTGTGACGGAGAAGTCGAACCTCGGGGGGGAGAGGGAGAGGGGTCTGGGCCCAGCCGGCCTCCCCACCACGGCTGGCGTCCGGCCCCGGCTCAGCTCGCCCTTCCAAGGAGCCCACGTGCCAACCACAGCGAAAGCAAGTGTGCCCCGCGGAGGCCCGTGGCCGGCAGGTGGGACACAGCGTCCTGCCACCCTGGGTGTCTGAGGTCGGCGTGGCCAGGTACCATCACAGCACACGCCTGGGGGGTCACAAACACCCAGCACCCCCTGACCGGAGGGTCCTGCACTGGCCTAAGGGCAGACACTGGCTATCCTGGTGACTGCCTGCCCTGGCGAGGTCACCGAGTGAAGGGTCAGGGCTGGCAAGGGGACCCCACCTGGAGGCCAGCGAGCCCTGACCAAGGCCGAGGGCCTTCTTACAGGTCTGCACGGGACCCGGGCTGACTTCTTTCACACTCACCGGCCTCGTGAGTGTAGCCAGATTTCACAGGGAGGCCTTTTTAAGCGGCCACTAGGGACCTCGTGAGGCCGCAGGGGAGCAGGGAGGGGGGCCCGGCGAGGCGGTGGGCCTGCCTTCTGTGGGCGGCATGGTTTTATGGAAAAGGGCTTAGCTGTGTGGGGGACGGTGTGGAGGGTGAGGCCTCAGGAAGAGCCCAGCTGGTGTGGCTCAGTGGGTGAGCGTCGACCTACGGACCAGGAGGTCACGATTTGATTCTGGTCAGGCCACATGCCTGGGTTGCCAGCTGGATCCCCCGTGTGGGGCGTGCAGGAGGCAGCCGACCCATGACTCTCTCCCATCATGGATGTTTGTTTCTGTCTCTCTCTCCCACTCTCCCTTCCTCTCTGAAATCAATAAAAATATATTTTTAAAAAGGCCTCACAAAGAGCCCACCAGCCTCAGGACCCCGTGGCGTGTGCAGGAGGGGCTGGCGTGGTGGCCCCGGGGGCGTGTGCAGGAGGGGCTGGCGTGGTGGCCCCGGGGGCGTGTGCAGGAGGTCGGGCTAGGTGGCCGAGGGGAAGACAGAGCCCAGCCCTGGGAGTCTGAGCCACAGGCGAGGCAGCAGGAGAGGCCATGACCTGGCCGCGCACCCTCCTGTGGGGGTGGGGAGGGTGGGGGCTCCCACAAGGCGGGGTTCAGAGATGCTGTCACTTACAGGTTCCAGCCGGAGGACAGGTACTCCACGGGGCCCAGGCCAGCCACCTTCAGGAACAGCTCCACCCCGTAGACTGTGAACAGGAGCGGGAGCGGGCAGTTGGCCGTGTCCTCCCACACCGGGCCTGGTCAGTTTCCTCTCTGAGACCCTTGAGGTCTCCAGCCTCCCCCTCAGGCTGTGCGCCCTCTGGACAGCCACGCTCCACGGGAGAGTGTGTGCTCCACTCCCTCCCCCTCTCTGGGCATGGCCCAGCCACCCTTCTGTCCGCCCAGCAGGTATTGCCTGCACCTCTTCGGTGCCAGGCATTGTGCTGGGTGCTGGACGTGCAAAAGTGACCAGCACGGTGCAGTGCCCCCTCCTACAGAGCTCAGAGTGCAGACAGGAGGAGACTGTGAGTGGGCGATGACACAGCGCCCTCAGGGTTATAGGAGGAGGAGGGGAATGTCGGTCAGGCGGAGGAACACCCTGCAAAGGGCCTGAGGTAAGAAAGGGCACGGGCACTCGGGAGCAGGGCACTGCTCAGGAGGGCTGCAGGGTGGGGCCTGGTGGCTGAGGGACCCCGCTTGGCCGGGGATGTGAGCACCTCGGGATGGAGATGAGATGGAGGGCAGAGGAGCCAGGGAAGAGTCTGAAACGGGTGGGATGGAATCAGACCCAGTTTCTGCTTCCAGAAGCCTCCCCGTTTCAGAGCCATGAGGTCCTAAACCAATGAACGTCCTCCCACCAGTGTTTAAGACAAGCCGGTGGCAAAGCCAAGTCCAAACAAGAGACTTACTAGTGAGAAAGACGAGGGAACTCCAGGGCACGTGCTTGGAGAAGAAGTTCCCCCCTGTAGGACAGAGAGGCCGCAGCTCAAGAGGCAGGCCAGGCGTGCGCACGGGCGGGCCAGGCCCCCAGCGGGCTCACCTCTCAGCATGAAGGTCTCGGCGAGGACCCAGACCCCATTGACTGCCACCACCAAGTCTGCAATAGAGAGAGAAGCACAGGCCTGTTGGAAACCTACAGGTCACAGCTGGTTAACTTCTGGGCCGCTCCACACACCCATGGGACAGGTGACCGCTTAGTGCTTTTACCGCATGAGCTAATCAACTGGTTCCGCTCAGAAACAGCTACGGATTTCTAAAAGCCCCCTCTCTGTCACTGCAGGGACACCAGTTAAGATGTTCCGGTAAAACCTACTATTCTAAGTCAGTATCGACGACGGACAATACACAAAGGGTTTGAGTATTGAAAGAATTTGCTTTTCCCTTGAGATGTCTGGTTTTTAAAATGACTGCACAGTTAGCAAAATGCCTATGGACCTGGCCTTTCGCTGAGCAATCCCACTGCTAGGAACCCATCCCAACAAGACAACACCAGCAAAAAACACAACACCAGGTACCCATCCCAATGAGACACCAGCAAACACACGCCTGGTACCCCTCCCAACGAAACACCGGCAAACACACAGCACCGGGTACCCAGAAAGCTGCTCGCTCGAGAACTACTTGTGACGGCAAAACATGAGACCCCACCCAGGTGGTCAGGACGGTGCCGGTGGAATAAACTACGATGCGGTCAGGACACGGTGCATCCCGCCCGGGCCAGGTGGCTCAGTTGGTTGGAGCACCATCCCGTGCATCGGAAGGTTGTGGGTTCGAACCCCAGTTGGGTGTGTACGAGGGGCAACCAATCAATGCTTCTCACATTGATGTTTTTCTCTCTCTCCCTTCCATTCTCTCTAAATATCAATAAGAAGACATATCCTTGGGTGAAGATTAAAAAAAAAAAAAGAGGGCCTATCAACTATAAAAATAAAGGGGGACATCTCTATATATTACTGTGGCGTGGTCTCCAGGATTTATTATTAACCAAAAAAAAGTGTGTAAAGTCTGCTATCATTTAATGAAGACAGAGAGATATATATATATATATATATATATATCCCCCCCATTCAGAGATTTTAAAACATGGACGGATAAGCCATGATAAAAGGTGCCCATTGGGGGAGGTGACAAGATGTAAAATTACGGGAAATAAGTCACAGGGGGTATGCACAAACAAACAAGAGGAAAGAGGAACAGTCCTGGTTCTCCAACTATACAGTGCCAGAGGGAGAAGCGGGACGGAGGAGGAGCCTACAGATTAAAACAGGCCCAAGTGACTTATCCACCCATCACACCCTGTGGTTCTGGAATTTGCTTCCAAATCTCGGGGCCTAGAGGGTATAGCAAGCCCGAGTGAGGGCGCAGGTGCACAAGAAAGACTGGCCACTGGGTGGTGAGTGCCTTGGCTGGGTGCCGGGCACGTGACGTCCCCCGGAACTTTCTATGATGAGCAGTCCACACAGCGCCTGCGGGACCGATCTCCGGCCTCCCACCCTCTGGGGGAGTGAGACCCGGGAGCAGAGGGCCCAGAGCTGGGTGGGTCCCACTTACACATTAAATACTGAAAGGCTTTGGACTTCACCAGGATGTTAACTCCTGTTGGAAGAGAGGAAACGTTAGCATCGAAGTCTTCATGTGCAAGTACGCGCTCCCCGACGTCATAGTGCTGCACATAAGCCACCAGGGTATTTATGTCCAGGGGAGAAAACAGAAGGGCCTGTTCTGCCAATGACACTCAGACACCCAAACACAGCGGCACAGACCACCGCTGCTCTGGGGACAGACTGGGCAACCCAGGCCGGGACAGAACAGAACACGGCGTTGTTGCCACTGCTGAAACCCACAATCCTGCAGGCCTCGGCCTGGGACGGTTTCCTCATCCACTTGAGTCACTATCATCTCAGCAGAATGGAAACCCGTGAGAGAATATGAGATAACAGCTGCGCCCAGCGCCCCAGCGGTGGGAGAAATCACAAACAAGGCTCTCCCATCGTTACTCGTGTTCATGGTGGCCCAGACCCAGGCTTCGGGCCTTCTACACGAGAAACTCCGTGAGCCCACACCCCCACGTACAACTTCAAAGCTGGCATTAAGTGAAGGGGGGACTGTTTAATACGGGCGCTCGGATGTAAAATGGTTGAATTTTATACTGCGCAAGGGATCACGTACACTGGGTATACACCCTGTCACAGGGGAGAGGGCAAAATACACATACTGCAGTCCCACCATTTTAAAATGTGCAGAAAAAGTAACCAATGTCAGAAAGCAACACATCCGAACACTCACAGTGGTTATTTCTGGGTGGGAGACTGTCTTCTGCTATCAGACTTGGTAACCTTCCTTTAATGAACTGGATGGTCCACAGACGTCTTTTGGTTTGGTTTTGAAGTTGCCGATTTCCTTCCTGGTCCCTAACACTATGTCCCTGCTGGGGAATCACACTCTCCTGCCGCCACGACACACCTTCAGGGGGAACCTTACCTTTGAAGATGAGGAAGGCTGTCCGGGGAAGCTCATCGAACCAGTGTTCTCGATTCTTCTTCGCCTGCCCAGGAAACAGGGCCGTGAGAGAGGGGTTCGGACCAGGGATGAGAACCTGACCCAGGGGGCCAGGAGGCCACGGTCCTTCCCTGCTCACCAGGCTCTCACTTGGGGAACAGGAAGAACACTCCGGGTCTAAGTAACAATAAGGCCAGCCAATGGCTACAGATCATTTCCATGGGCCACGCACGTGCCTTATTTTATATCGTCCTGAAAAAAGCTGGAGGTCAGAACTGCTGTTAGCCCATTTCCCAGGTGCGACGACCTGGCCAAAGTCAGATAAGTGGCCCCAAGTCACAGGGTGACTAATGGGGCCGAGATTCAGTGCGTGACCAGGACACTGTATCACACGTGTAAAGGCAGATGGGAGGCCCCGGGCCACCTGGGGCCCCTGAAGTGCCCAGAACTGAGGTGTTGTTCCAGCCAGGAAAGAATTGGACCTCGGCCCGGCTGCAGTGGCTCAGTGGTTGAGCACCGACCTATGAACCAGGAGGTCAGGGTTCGATTCCCGGTCAGGGCACGTGCCCAGGTTGTGGGCTTGGTCCCCAGTGTGGGGTGTGCAGGAGGCAGCCGATCCATGATTCTCTCTCATCACTGATGTTTCTCTCTCCCTCCACCTTCCTCTCTGAAATCAATAGAAATATATTTTAAAAATAAAAAAAGAACTGGCCCTCGGGTGCCTGTCGGCCTCATCCCCCCGTGGAGCTGTCCACCTGCTCCCTCTCTGGTCTTACCTTCCACTTCAAGGCAGTGACTTCATAGATATCATAAAAGTCCTTCAGGCTGCCACAGCAACAGGAAAAGGCAGAACAAAATTTACAAAATCAGATCGCTCCCGCTGAGCTTTACGTGTGTCACTCGCCTGCCTGTGGCCACCTTTGAAGGGGGAAGAGGGGAAGGGGGAGGGGACGGCTGGGAGTCCCAGCATATAAGTGGGGGAGGGGGGACCTCCCTGCAGGCATTCTCACCTTCCCCCAGGCCCTGTGAATACGTAATCCTCTCAGTCTAACGGAGTGACAGCTTCAGGCCCCCTGAATCACTATAACTCTTACATGGACGGGCTGAGCCTCCGTTAGCAGAGAACTTAATGGGACAAATGGGCTGAGAGTTCAGCCCAAACAGAACGTGCTCATGCTCGTATCTGCAGCTGGCCTGCTGCTTCTCAAACTCGGTCAGCAGCCATCTAGAAGGTCGAGACTGCCCTGGAAATCTGGGAGGCTGCGCCGTGGTGTGTGTGTGCGTGTGTGCATGCCTGCATATGTGTGTGTATGTGTGTACATGTGAGGGTGCGAACACCCCTCTGTGGACCTGCCCATATGCAACAACCCCACTCATTCTTAGCTCAAAGGTGAGCAGCTGCGTCAGTCTACTTCATGATCCAATATATTCCGTTTTTTGTCAAGTGAGCCTGAATTAGATTTGGGTGGGACTTTTGTCACTTGCAGAGAGAATCTTGATGAAAACTAAAGCCTCTAACACAGCGGTTCTCAACCTGTGGGTCGCGACCCCTTTGGGGGTCGAACGACCCTTTCACAGGGGTCGCCTAAGACCATCGGAAAACACATATATAATTACATATTGTTTTGTGATTAATCACTATGCTTTAATTATGTTCAATGTGTAACAAGGAAAATACATCCTGCATATCAGATATTTACATGACGATTCATAACAGTAGCAAAATTACAGTTATGAAGTAGCAATGAAAATAATTTTATGGTTGGGGGTCACCACAACATGAGGAGCTGTATTAAAGGGTCGCGGCATTAGGAAGGTTGAGAACCACTGCCCTAACAGGCTCTTTGCCCACCCACCTCCTGGTGCCCTGGCCGCTCCAGCTCCCTCCCCTGAATACCTCCGTGGGCCACAGCGCTCCCACCAGGCTGGCACTCTTACCTGAGCAGAGGGGTGTTGCTCTGATTCAGGGCCTTGAAAGTCAGGTAACGCTCCCAGGCATTCATCCGGGGCTTGTAGAAGCGCATCAGGCCTTCAAACTGCCTGTAGGAGATGCCGGCGGGGCTCTGGGCGAGAGGAAGGGTGGCAGGTCAACACAGGCAAAGGCAGAGCCCCACTGCCTCCTCCCTTGGGGGTGACGACTCCGGCTGCCCAGCACGGCTTGGATCCCGGGTGCCCGGCTCCTTCTTATCCTCTCAAGGGCGGGACCCCTGCTTTATTTTTCTTTTCTTTTTATTATTGATTTCAGAGAGGAAGAGAGAGATAGACACATCAGTGATGAGAGGGAATCATTGATTGGCTGCCTCCTGCACGCCCTCTACTGGGAACCAAGCTAGCAACCGGGAATGTGCCCTTGACCGGAATCGAACCATGGACCCTTGAGTCCGAAGGCCGACGCTCTAACACTGAGCCAAACTGGCTAGGGCTATTTTTAAAATATGTTTTTATTGATGTAAGAGAGACAGGAAGGGAGAGGGACAGAAAGATAGAAACATCGATGAGAGAGAAACTGGGGATTCAGCCCACAACCCAGGCATGTGCCCTGACGGGGAATCCAACCGGGGACCTACAAGTTCACGATCAACACTCAACCACTGAGCCACGCCCAGTGGGCAAGGACTCCTGTTTCTAAAGCTGCTGGCCTGCTGTGCTTAGGGGCTGCCCAGGGCAAGGGAGGGGAACTGGGGACCAAACCCCTCCCGGCCTGGCCTCCACCCCCCTACCCGCTGGCTGATGAGCAGGCGGTACGCGTGCTGGATGGCGGTTCGCTTATGCAACAGCAAAGACTTGAACTTGCGTTTTTCGATGTCGTTGAAGGTGTCGAACACCACGGCCAGAAGCTGTGAGAGAAGAGCAGAGACCTGGCTCCCTTGCACGGTGGGACCTCGAGGACCTCGAGGGGTCGGGAGTGTACCCTTTGCCTCCAGAGGGCATTCTCCCCCCCCACACACGCCCCAGACCCGGGGGGGGGGGGTTGGGGTTGGGGTAACCCTTTCGCAGAGTTTGTCTCCAAGTCAAAGAGGAAGGCCATGTATCGCCACTTGTAAATTTTCTCTCTTCAGACACACGAAAACATTGTTGTTACGTTTCCCTGGGTACTTCGCCTACAGCTCGTCCCTGACGGGGCAGTTTTATAAGGTGAGAAGCAGGGAAGGGCCTGCTGGGCTCTATGCCCCAATCAGCTGTCTGGTGGCCGGTGGCCAATGGCCGAAGGCCTGGGAGGCTGTGTCCAGCCTGTGCCCTCCTGGCCCCGGAGCTCGGAGGAGCATCATCATGGTGGAGGCTGCCTCCCCCTCGCCCCCTCGTTCCCGTCCTGGTGAGTCACAGCTTCGTGCACCGGCCCCAGGAATCGGGAACAGGAGGCCTTCCTCGAGGGCCCAACGTTCTGGAACCGCCCAATCCCAAGGTCAGCTCGGTCACCGCACAGCCTGCATCACCAGAGGGCGAGGGAGGGCGGGAGCCGAATCTGAAAGAAGCCTTTTTGGAAGCACTTTCTTTTTCTTCCAAAAATATTTTGAGGGAAATTCTCCTGTCCTTTCGACTCCTTCAAATGCTACCCCCCTTCCAATTTTTTTCCTTTCGGTCAAGAAAAGGTCAGCAAACCTTTCCATAAAGAGCCAGACAACAACTATTTCAGGCTCTGAAGGCCAGATGGTCTCTGCAGTTGCAGCACAAAATCAGCCACAGAGGATGCGGAAGCTAATGGGCGTGGCTGTGTACCAATAAAACTTTATTCACAAGTGCAGGCTTTGGCCAGCAGGCTGCGGTTCACATACGCCCCTACCCCGGATTTTCACAACAAATTAAATCAATTACACATAATACATTGTTATGATTCTAAACTAAAGATGGTATATAAGAACTGTAATGTGTATGAAGACAGCTAACATATTTCTTTTTGGTTTTGAGGGATTAAAAAATATTCCTTTTTAAGACTTCACACTTTTAGATTTCACATGTCTGCTCCTGAGAAAGCATTTTTTTCTTTTACTTAATCCTCACCTGCGGATATTTTTCCATTGTGTTTTAGAGAGAGTGGAAGGGAGAGGGATAGAGAGAGAAACATCAATGTGAGAGAAACATCGATTGGTTTCTCTCTGCACTCCCTGAGGCTGGGGGTCAAGCCTGCAATCAAGGTACATGCCCTTGACCAGAATCAAACCCAAAACCCTTCAATCCATGGGCCGATGCTCTATCCACTGAGCAAAACTGGCTAGGGTGAGCAAGTGTCTTCTACCCCAGGCCTGGCTGTGATGCCTGGTGTGAGAATGCTCCTCAGAGCATAAAAACACAAGATTAGTAAGAGCCTCTCCCTGGTAATTCTGGTGCTGGCGTGTGGTCTTGGCACCTGCCTAACAGTGATTGGCTGATGGCAGGAATATGCCTGGTGGCCAGCCATGCCTCTTCGAATGCCTCCAGAGTCCCAGTGTGCACGGGGACTTCCCCTGCCTCTAACAGTGTGTCCTGTATTGGGATTCCCAGTGGTTCGTGATAAACGGGGTGGAAATACGCAAGATATTCCAGGACATGGGTGCCAAAGGATCGAGAGGTTCAGAGCAGGGCTTGGATCACACCAGCTCGCCTGGCCTCCCCGAGCTGTGCAGCCGTGGGCCTGTCACTCTATCCACCCGACCCTCAGTTTCCCCATCTGCACACTGAGAATCATAATGGGACCTCCAGGGCTGTGGTGTTAAATCATTTAATCCACTTTGCTTACTCGGTGCCAGCTTTAACAGTTATGATACGTCTGCGGTGAGAAAGAAAAGGTCCCGGGGGAGCCTTGCTCCAACATGAGCACCATCAGCAGCAATGACGGGAATAACCCAGGGAGGCTGCCACGCTGGCCCCACACCACACCTGACTACAGCCTGGCACCCCAGCCCCTGCCGATGCGGAGCCTCCTCTTCCATGCCCACGGCACCCAGCACTGTGGCGGCTGCCCCCAGCGGAGACAAGACACGGTCACTCACCAGGTTCATGATGAAGTACAGCTCAATGGAGAGGTACACGATGAAGAAGACGCAGGACCAGGGGTTCCGGGAGTAGGAAGGCATCATCACGTCTGGGAAACTGCATTTGCAGAGCATTGCCCGTGGGGCCCTGTCTGCCCGCCTCTGTCTTCTCTAAGGACATCTCTCTTTCCTGCCTTCCCAGCCCCAGCCCACCCCACCGTCCCGGCTCTCAGCCCACGGGCCCGAGTCACCAGGCCACCCCCATTCCTCCCAGTGCCCCGAGCACTGTCTGGGCTGAGACAGGGAATGTCCTGGGCTGGGAAGACGCTGGGCACGAGCCGAGGGCAGCAGCCAGAGCAGAGCCCACACTCACTTGGCTGTGGTCAGGAGGACGAACAGGCTGACGATGCTGCTCTCCAGGGTGCTGAAGTACTGTTCGGGAAAGGAGGCAGAAGGGCATGCTGGCCAGCCCGAGAACGCACGGCAGCCTGGGCCAGCCTTCGATGGGCCCCCGGAGCGCCCTGCCCTCCCTGCCCCGCCCCACCCACCAACTCTGCCTCCTCCCACGGGATCCCTGAGGGATGAGCAAACTGGAGTAAGGACTCCGCCTTCCTGAGCTCCACGCTTCTGGTAGAAGCAGACAAGTGACTTTGGGACGTTTCTCCCAGAAAATCACATTTGCACCATTAGCTTGGATCTCCTTCACTGTAACCTCCACCAAAACGTTCCCATGTTCCAAATCTGATCTTGGAAACACGACTCTCAGGATAGGAAACCACGCCCCTTAATGCGCAAGTCGGGGTGATAGGGACTTTCAAGGGCCGTTAGCTGGGATGTGAAGCCAGGCAGGCCTCCCTCCCTAATGTAGCTAGAGGGTCAGCCCAGCCACCTTGTCAGAGGGGAATGGCCTCACATAAAGGAAGAAACGGACAAAACATGGTGATTACTTACGGGGTCTGAAGGATTAGGGGAGAACAAGTAGAAACCTGGAAGGTAGCAGAAAAGAGATTGAAAAGATGTCAAAGGATTGGACCAATACACGTAAATGAGAGCAGTGTGCCGAGGGAGACAATAGGGAATGGTGGGGACTGCGCACTCTGGGGAACACATGCTCTGAAATAAAGGAAGCAGGTGCTACCGGGCACTGGGTAACCGCAGCTATTCGGAAATGTGGCCCGAGCACCATCAAGTGTAGTATTAAAAAGGTTGGAAATCTGTCATTTTGTATAAAAATCTGATTTTAAAATGCTGGCTCCAAATTTTCAGACCACACAAAACTCATGCATAGGCTGGACTTGGAATCCAGACCTCTGGTTTTGAGAATGTGACGGCCAAGCAATAATTCCGAAGGGACTCCATTGTTTCCCTACAGCCAAGGGTCCCGGGGTGGGAACGGCATTCACTTCCTCCTTGGGAATGGGCTATTCCCCTGAGTCCTTGAAATCCTGTGGGAAAAGTCTGCCCTCAGGGGAAGTCAGCCCCCTTGGAGCACAAAGTGCCATCCAGATGGTGGAGGGAAGGTGGAACGGGAGCCAGAAGCTCGGGACACACCAGTCACGGAGGCAGGGGCTGGTCACAGAGTCAGAGCACTAGGGGCCACTGGCTGTGCCACGCCAGGACTCGAGGAGGGGCCTCAGCTTCCTCATCGTGCCGGGACCGCCGCTGGCGGAGCCCTGTGTCTGCATGGGGTGCCGCACTAATCCTCGGCCTCATCGGAAGAGGCAAGGCCTCCTCGGGGTCAGAAAGCCGTGATCTTGCCCTTATATCTAGTGATGCTGAAGTGCACAGACCCTAACCCTCCACGTGCTGCAGGGAAAGTCTCCACGTGTCCGCCAGGAAACACGAGTGTTCACTGCCCTGTGGCTTGTGATAGTGGGAAATGCCCACCAACAAGAGAACAGATAAATAAATCTGGGCCCATTCACTACCCTCCTGTGACATCTGCATCCATCATGAATAAACGTCACATGCCTAGTGCTGAGCAAAGAGCACCTTGCAGAAGGGGACACCACGTTTCGTAACCATTTACACAACTATTTTGAATATGCAAAGCAATAATAGAATCTATGTGTTGCTTAAGGAAACATACGCATAAAGTGAAACTATACAGACACAAGTAGCAATGCTAAGCCTAGGACGCAGGCACCTCTGGGGGGAAATTGAGGTCATGAAAGGCTACAAGGGGGTTCCGTTTTATTTCTAACCCTTCATTTCCTAAATTGGAGTCCCTGGGTGTTTATATCATTTGGTTTTTGTTTGCTGTTTTTTTGTTAATCCTCACCCGAGAATATTTTTTCCATTGATTTCTAAAGAGAGTGGAAGGGAGGGGGAGATACAGAGAGAGAAACATCGACATGAGAGAGACACATCGACTGGTTGCCTCCCACATGCACCCCAATCTGGGGATCAAGCCTGTAACCTACAACCCAGGTACATGCCCTTGACCGGACTCGAACCGATGACCCTTTATTCTGCGGGCCAACGTTCTAACCACTGAACAACGCAGCTAGGGCTGTTTATATCACTTGTAAAACCTTTCTGAATTTCCAAAGCTGTCAGTAAGCTTTCCCCCCATGGTGCCTTTGCTTTCGGAGATGGCCCGGTCCCGGCGCGGGGAGCTCACCGAGGATGGCGAAAATGACCATGAAGAAGAGCAGCAGCAGAAGGATGTCCATGAAGGGTGGCAGTGACTGGAAGATCTGCCGCAGGTTGCTGGGGAGACAGGGGGGTCAGGGGGTGAGGCGCAGCCCGGGGTGGGCCCGAGGAGCGCGGGCCGGACTCCTCAGGGGAACACGCGCTCATGGAGACCCGGGTCTGGTGCTCCTGACTCGGCACACTAACCCCCCCTGCACCCCGGCTTAGTGACATCACACTCAGTGCTGTTCTGCAGGACCTGCACTCAGTGGTGACAGGGAGAAGGGAGGCAGGTGCAGCACAGATACCCGCTCCTCCCGCCTACAGGGTCCAGCAGGGAGTTCCCTGTGAGGGTTGGGGGGGGGGGGGCAGCAGAAGGCTGAGGGCACAGACTCGGTGCAGAGGTCGCTTCCCCGAGAAGTGGGGGGCATGGAGACAGCTCGGGACCACCTGGCCCTAGGACACTTGTGTCCTGCGTTGAGGATGCACAGAGAATGAATTGCCAGCCCATTCTTATCAACAGTCCCCCAGCCAATGGATTCTCCAGATGGATCTCAAAGCTCAGTCTAACTCTAGGCTGACGGTCTGTTCGGGTGCAGTGCCCCGGTCTCGGGGGAGGCACCAGGACAGCCTGCGTCACGTGGACCTTTTGCCAAGCTGCCTGCTACGAGTGCTGCTGCTGTGTTGGGGCAGATAATGTGCCTGGAGAGGAGCCAGCCCCTCTGCTTAGAGAAAGCTGGGACGTAGGCCTGGAGTCGGGACACCTAAGCTTCGGGGGGAATGGCCTTCCTCTCTGTGGGGTTGAGAGGCAGAGGGAGGTAAGCGTGCTGAGTTAGACTCTACCGACCTGCAGGATGGATCTTATGGCTACTTGACTCACTGGGTCCTGCTCCACTGGCCCAGGGGTCCAGGCCAGGCCAGGATAGCGACTGTCTGAGCAGCTCCTCCCCCAGGCCTTACCGCCGGACGCCACCGCAGTACCGACAGTCCACCAGGAAAATGCAGCGCAGCGCCCGGGTCACCCGCATGTGGGACGTCTGCCGCACCAGCACCACGATGGCCTCGATGAACTGCACCACCAGCACGGAGGTCTGGGGGCGGACGGGCAAAGAGCAGCGTCAGCTCCTCCGCCCAGATGCCTCCCGAATACCCTGAGCTCAGGGCTCACTAGGGAATGCCCACCCTGGTCTCAGGAGGCCCATCCCTTCTCTCCAGCGCCCGCCCCCAACATCCAGCAGCCCCTGGGGAAGGGCCCTGGGCTGTGGCATTGGTGTGTGGTCACAGGAGGATGACCCAGAGGGCAATGCTCCCAGCAGCACCTCAGAGGGTATTCACTGAGCAACTCTGACACTCAGCCCGGCCGGTCTGGCTCAGTGATGGAGCGTCGACCCATGAACCAGGAGGTCATGGTTCGATTCCCGGTCAGGGCACATGCGGAGGTTGTGGGCTCGATCCCCAGTGGGGGGGGCATGCAGGAGGCAGCCAATCAAGGATTCTCTCTCATCATTGATTTTTCTCTCTCTCCCTCCCTCTCCCTTCCTCTCTCTAAAATCAATAAAAACATATTTTTTTAAAAAAACTGCCCCCGCCAGTTTGGCTCAGTGCAAAGTGTTGGCCTGGAGATGGGAGGGTCCCAGGTTCGACTTCGGTCAAGGGCACGTACCTAAGCTCGAACCCCTTGTCAGAGTGTGGGAAGCAACCAATCGATGTCTCTCTCACATTAATGTTTCTCTCTGTCTCCCCCTCTCCTTTATTTCTTACAAACAAAAAAGCCCTGCCACTCTGCCCAGCCACGTCTACCAACCCTGGCTTTGGCTCTCCTGACTTGCACCGTGAAGACCTCTGAGAGAGGTCCGAAGCACACCTTGCTCTTCAATCCCTCGGGCACTTTCTCTGGACAGCTGTGCAGGCCCTTTACACTGCAAAGTGCCACTCGGACGCATTCCTACGCGTGCCTCTCTCTGCAGCACAGAGAGAACGTGTCCGATGCTGCTTACAGGTCAGCGTGGGCTTGGAGGCCAGCCAGACCTGGGTTTGAATCCCATCCTCGCGGGATTAGAGCCCATTCTCTGCTGTGGCTAGATGTGAACTAGGAATAGTAATGCATCTCCCACGAGGGTTACCGCGCCCGTGCTCGGCGCCCCAAATTCCGAATCACACCAGCTGCTGTCAGCGTGACCACAGCCGCGACCTTGGAGCACGGCTCTGCGAGGCTGGGGCGCAGCGAGGGTGGGGACCCCGGGTTACACTACCAAGAGCTGGGGGATTTAGAAGTGAAGTGAAGAGACGGGATTGAAGGTGCCAGGGGAGAAAATGTTGTAAGGAGATGGACACGCCACCTTGACCATGGTCCGCTTATGCCGGATGAAGGTGTGGAGGCCCAGCCACCGCAACTTCATGCAGAGTTCAAAGACGACCACCATCAGGGCGAACAGCTCCAGGGTCGCGTGGACCTGCAACCACAGGGTGCGGAGACATGGCATTGCCGGGCCACTGTCCTCCACTGGCCATCGCACCTGACCGCCCCTCCTCTGAGGCTGGAAAGAATGGGAGGGACTGCCACCAGGGGTGCTGCCCACCTGGCGCCGAGGTGTGGCCGCCGGTCCCAAGTGAGGCCATCAGATGGCACCCTCCCTGGCACTTCAGAGCGAGCGAGCGAGCAGAATCACAGTCAGACTGAGTGAGGAAAGTGCATTGGCTCCACAGGGACCCCCAGAGGCCCGGCGAGTCACTGCTGCTCCCGAGGCCTCGAGGGCCTCCCAGGGCCTGTTTTCAATCCATTCGCACTGTCTGCCCTTCCAGAATGTGCCCCTTTAAGCTTAAGCTTGCATTAGCCCCAGCGAGGTGCCTGGCGCCTGCCCCAGGGAGCAGCGGCTCCCAGCCATCGGGACACTCACGTAGATGCCCAGGCGGAGCGCGGGGACGGCAGGGGCCTCGCACAGCGACAGCAGCAGCAGCAGCAGGGCCGTGGACAGCTCCATCAGGTAGAAGAGGTGGTTGTGTGCGAAGAGGTAGGCCGCCAGCGCTTTGGCATTCTTGGGGTGGGTGAAGAACTTATCGTTATTCTCGCCTTCCTGCGGAAACAAGAGCCACGGGGGCGGCGAGCCTGAGCACAGCACCAAGGCCGCGCCGTGGGCCAGGGCGAGAGGAAGGGCCTGGCGGGTCAGAGGAGGCTCAGGCCAGAGACGGAAGACAACGGGAATTCAGGTCTTATGGCCACAAACCGTGCACAGTTAAGTCTCGCCCTGGCCTGCTGATGTGGCTTAAAAGGCTCGCTGACTCGTAAAAACCACGTGGAGGAATCAAAGAATAAACGGTCCAGAGGGCCCTAGCCGGTTTGGCCGAGTGGTTAGGGCAGTGGTCGGCAAACTGCGACTCTTTGGCCCCTTGAGTGTGGCTCTTCCACAAAATACCACGTTTGGGCGCGCACGTACAGTGTGACTGAAACTTCGTGGCCCATGTGCAGAAGTCGGTATTTTGTGGAAGAGCCACACTCAAGGGGCCAAAGAGCCACATGTGGCTCACGAGCCGCAGTCTGCCGACCACTGGGTTAGGGTGTTGGCCCATGGACTGAAGGTCATGGGTTCCATTTCCAGTCAAGGGCACCCATCTCAGTTGCAGGCTCACTCCTGGCCCTGGTCAGGGTTGTGCAGGAGGAAACCAATTGATGTCTCTCTCACATCAATGTTGCTCTCTCTCTGTCTCTTCCCCTCCCTTCAACTCCCTAAAAATCAATGGAAAAAACATTCTCAGATGAGGATTAACAACAACAAAAAAAGGCCCAGCCCGGCCAGAGTGGCTCAGTGGTTGAGTGTCAACCTATGAATCGGGTTCGATTCCCGGCCAGGGCACATGCCCGGGTTACAGACTAAATCTCTAGTGGGGTGGGGGGTCGTGCAGGAGGCAGCTGACCGATGATTCTCTCTCATCACTGATGTTTCTCTCTCTCTCTCCCTCTCCCTTCCTCTCTGAAATCAATAAAGATGTGTTTTTAAAAAAAAGGTCCAGAGAACTGGGCACAACTGGTCCCTCGAGGCCAAGTGCTCACTCTCAGAAATGTCTGTAGAATGTAAAGAGCTGGGGGGGGGGGGGGGCCCCGGGATCAGCAAGCACGGGCCGCCCCACGCCTCCCTGGGCTACCCCCTCTCCAGCTGTCAGCGAGACGGCTCTCCCCTTCCTCACAGGGCTCCAGGAAGACACTTGGGATGGCGCCTGGTACACACAGTAGGTGTTTAACAGATGTTTGATAGGATGAACCGTTTTGCAAGAGACCACTTCTCCCGGGGCCAGCCCCGCTCGGCGACCATTCACCCAGTAGCTGGGAGGCGGGGAGCGCTGGCCTCGACTGTGGTTTGCCGAGGAGCTTTGAAGAAGCCGCTTCCTGAAGTTGGATGCATCACTACCCTCAATACCAAAACATGAAGACAAACCAGACTGGACAGGGGCAGGTCCACGGAGAGAACAAACACGCTGGCGGTCACACAGAGGGCAGGGGGCAGGCCTGGCTCCCGGCCCTGTGATCTGCGCAGGGCTGTGGTTTTCACGCTGCCCCATGGCGTGATGCCCACGGCGGCCTGGAAGCTTCTGGTTTGGATTATTAAAAAATGCAATTCTTGGGACATTTCTTCCCACAGGCAGCCAGCAGTGAAGGTCTGACTAGCAGAAACCACTGACAGGGGGGCGGAGCGGGGGAGGGGGCTCGAGCTTAACTCTACGACTCGGAATGGCCACCGAGGAGGTGGAGGCTGAGGTCACCACCAATGAGCACGGAGTGAAATACGACCCGGGTCACTGGGTGCTGTGCCAGACCCCAAGGAGGGAGAACAAGGGCCTTGTTTCCTGGCTGCTGATCATGAAGGAGATTACGAAAAATAAGAAGGCGGCCAGTGCTACGTGACATCTAGGCCTCCACTCCCCGCTCCCTGAGAAGTCCACACAGCAAACAAGAACCATCTCAGAGGCACTATGACCGCTGACACCCGGCTCCTGAGGTGACGGAGTTGACAGATAAACTCTGGGAAGAGAAGAAGCTGCAGGGGCCAGGCAGCCTCTAGCAGCAAGGGGCCAACGAGCCAAGTACACCAGCCACCTGGTCAGGGTCTGCAGCCACCTGGTCAGGGTCTGCGCTGCAGCTCAGCGCGAAGCAGGAAGAGCAAGACCATCCGACAGCAGCTCAGCCCACCCTCCAGAAACAGCCACAAATACTGCTCATGGAGATCGCAGTTCTGCTCTGTTTTTTTTTTAAAGGTGCATTTTGGGTAAAACTCATTCAAATAATACACAGGGTTATAAGGTTGTAAAAATTCCATCAGCTAAATATAATCACCTTTAATATTGAGATAAACAACTTTCCAGATGTGAATGGGTGTCTGTGCAAACACACACACACACACACAGGTATCTGTAGCTATATACTAGTACATCTAAAATAATAAAAGCGTAATATGCTAATTAAACCAGACGTCGTTCCAGATGACCTTCCAGACGAAGCCGGGGCTGCAAGGAAAGCCCGGGTCCCGGGTGCCAGAGGAAAGCCAGTGCCGGCAGCCGGGGGAAGGAAGGCCTACTCTTGCACGAATTTCGTGCATCGGCCTCTAGTCTAATCTAATAAAAGACAAAAAGGGTAATTAACCGTACCTCCGCTAAGCTTCCCATTGGCTAATGGCGATATGCAAATTAACTGCCAACAAAGATGGCGGCCAGCAGCCACGCAGCTGAAGCGAGCAGGAGGCTTGCTTGCTCCAGTAATGGAGGAAGCCAAAGTTCCCCGCCTACCACGGCCCGGCTCTGAGCTCCGGAAGCAACAATGTTTCAATTATAGAAGCTAAACAAACCCCAGATACCTGTTTTCAGCCAGCCGCGGCCCCAGAGCTGGGAGCACCAGTAACGGCAACAATGTTTCAATTATAGAAGGTAAACAAATCCCAGAATAAAAAAAAAAAAAAAATAGAGAGGTTGGGAGCTTCAGTCTCTGCCAGCCTGAAAACGGCCCTCAGCCCCTCATCCAGGCTGGCCAGGCACCCCAGTGGGGACCTCCACCCTAAAGGGGGTGTGGCCAGCCTGAAAACAGCCATCAGCCCCTCATCTAGGCTCGCCAGGCACCCCAGTGGGGACCCCCACCCTGAAGGGGGTGTGACCAGCTGCAAACAGCCATCAGCCCCTCACTCAGGCCGGCCAGGCACCCAAGCGGGACCCCCACCCTGATCCAGGACACCCTTCAAGGCAAACCAGCTGGCTCCCACCCATGCACCAGGCCTCTATCCTATATAGTAAAAGGGTAATATGCAAACTGACCCTAACAGCAGAAAGACTGGGAATGACTGGTCACTATGACACACACTGACCTCCAGGGGGCAGACACTCAATGCAGGAGCTGCCCTCTGGTGGTCAGTGAGCTCCCACATGGAGGAGCTCTGCTCAGCCACAAGCCAGGCTGATGGCTGCCAGTACAGCGGTGGTGGTGGGAGCCTCTCCCACCTCCTCAGCAGCGCTAAGGATGTCTGACTGCAGCTTAGGTCTGCTCCCCGCTGGCAAGTGGATATCCACCGAGAGTTGCCGGGCTGCCAGAGGGATGTCTGATTGCCAGCTTAGGCCCAATCCCCCAGGGAGCAGGCCCAAGCCAGCAGGTGGTCATCCCCCGAGGGGTCCCAGACTGCGAGAGGGCACAGGCCAGGCTGGGGACCACCCCCCCCCCCAGTGCACAAATTTTTGTGCACCGGGCCTCTAGTATCTATATAAACAAGCTATATATGGGTTTGTGTTTGTTTGTGTGTGTGTGTGTATAAATAAATACTACACAACAATGATCATACAAGTCCTGTTGTGTAACCTCTTTTCCCACAACCACATGGCTCATTTTCAAGTACATACATGTGGTAGCTATAGAAATGAGGCAACAATGTATAGAAGAAAGACCATCACTTAGGGGTTAGATAGATGAAGTTTACATCCACGCTCTGCAACTTACTAGGTGGGTGGCTTTGGACTCAGGGAGCCTGGGGGCAGGTGGAGCCACAAGCTGGGGTTACCTGACGAGCCCACGTACATCACCCGTCCAGTGCAGGCACCATTAGGCTGGCTCTCCCCACCATAAGGCGAGAAGCTCATGCACAGAGAACCGAAGCTGGAACCAAATTCCTGGGCAGCCAACAGAGCCCCGCCTCCTGACCCCACCAAGAAGGGCCAAGTCCTGACCCAGAGATGCTCACCTGGAGGTAGATGGCCGCCTCTTGGTAATTCATCTCCCAGTTGTGTCCAGTGGGGCTCGAGGGGAAACTCTCGCCCTCTGAGCTCAGGCTGGAGGCCTGGGAGCCGGGGACGGCATAGCTGCCTCCATCTGCAGTGGAAGAGGAGAGAGATTCACGCACAGCCCAGGAGAAGAGCACAGAGACACTGTTCCCCAGAGGAAAGGGCTGGCCGTCGCCTTGCGTGCTCAGACAGGCGCACCACCACTTATACGTCAATCTCTGCCCCACGCGCCAGGACAGCCAGAATTAGTATGGCTACGTATCAATATTTTTCCTTGTCTTGTTAAATGAAAAAGCAAGTACACAAGAGCACAAACATCTTTGATGTAAAAAAAGGGAGGAAGCGAAAACATATAGCTACCCACCTTACAGAAAAGAAAAAGAGGAAGAGAAGTTAGAACTCGGTGAAATCAGTTACCCACAAGAGAGGTGGGAAAGGGGGTAGAAGTATCACTCCTACTTGTTGTTTACTTTTGGCTTTTGGAAGTGTGTTAATTTTCTACTTAGTCAAAAATGAAAAATAACTGGATTTGGCCCTAGCCAGTTTGGCTCAGTGGTTAGAATGGTGGCCCGTGGATTGAAGGATCCTGGGTTTGATTCCAGTCAACGGCATGTGCCTAGGTTGCAGGCTCGATCCCTGGTCCTGGTCAGGGTGCAGGCAGGAGGCAACTAATCCATGTGTCTCTCCCACATCAATGTTTCTCTCTCTGTGTCTCTCCCCGTCCCTTCCACTCTCTCTAAAAATCCAAGGAAAAATATCCTCTGGTCAGGATTAACAACAACTGGATTTACTCCTTGGTAGAGGGTCACCTGTGGCTTCTGCATGCTGACCCCATGCCCTTTCCTGCGCTGCCCCTTCAGCCTTTGGAGAACATTGTTCGGCTCTGGCTGACTCCACCCCTGGCTCCCGGGCTGGTGGCCCAGGTGCAATGAGAGCCCCTCACGCCCCCCGGACAGGCTGGTTCAGGCAGGCGTGCTGCTCCACACCCAGCCAGGGAGGGCTGAAACTGGGACTGTCCTGGGCCAGTTAGGAAGGAGGGGCTCTCTCCCCGTTGCTGCAGGCAGCTGCCTCGGCCACCACCTGGGGAAAGCCTGCCCGGGAACAGAACGGTGACAGAGGTGGCCCGAGCTGCAGCCTTGGCTCTGCCCGACATCCACCCCTGAGCGTTTCCAGAATCGGCGCCCATGAAGACCCTTATACTTACACCTGCTGTCACAACTCCCAAGTGTCTCCACTGACACTGTCAGCAGTGACACTGAGACACAGAGGAAGAACATCTGTGATGAGAACTTGGCTCCCCATAATCCACACTCCTAATCACCCCCTGCACGAGGATAAAGAATCCCATTTCAAATCTATTCCGTGGCAGACTTTATTTTCCAAAGGCAGCCACAGCATTCCCTTTTGCCCCCACTGCCCCACTCTTCTGGAACCTTCCCTACAAAGAGGTGGAGCCGGTGCCTCTGCCCCTCGAGACCAGGGAGTCTCTGCGACCACTTTGACCGACAGGACGGAAGATGTGACGCTTCTGACTTCTAAGTTGACACTTCTAGTTCACCTTTTAAAAAAAAATGTTTTTATTCATTTTCAGAGAGAGGGGAAGGGAGAGGGATAGAGAGATAGAAACATTAATGAGAGAGAATCACTGATCACCTGCATGCTGCAAGCCCCTTACTGGGGATTGAATCTGCAACCTGGGCATGTGCCCAGACCAGGAATCAAATCTGTGACCTCCTGGTCCATGGGTCGATGCTCAACCACTGAGCCACACTGGCCAGGCTACTTCCACCTTTTTCTCTTGGGGCCCTTGCTCTTGGAACCATGTTGAGGCAGTCCACGCAGCCGGTGGAGAGGCCCACGAGGAGGCCCAAGGTCCCTCGGTCACAGCCCAGATGAGCTGAGCTCCCGGCCCACAGGCAGCACCAACTTGTCCATCAGTTGAATGAGCCATCTCTGCTCCAGTCAAGTGTCCAGACAGACAGTGTGGGCAGTAGAGAAGCTGCCCCTCCCAAACCCCGCCCCAAGCAGGTTCATGAGCAAAGTACATGAGGTTGCTATCATAAGGCACTATGCTTTGGAGTGGTTTGTTATATAGCAACTAGAGGCCCGGTGCACGGATTTGTGCACCAGAGGGGTCCCTTGGCCTGTCCTGCAGGGATTGGGCCAAACCCGACTCTCTGATAATCCCCTGAGGGGTCCTGGATTGCGAGAGGACACCGTGCACCAGGCCTCTAGTACAGCGGTCACCAATCTTTCGGACCCCATGGACCACCAGTGGTCCTCGGACCACCAGTTGGCGACCACTGCTCCAAATGTTTCCTTAAACCAGCGATCACCAACCTTTCGGACCCCACGGACCACCAGTGGTCTGTGGACCACCGGTTGGCAACAGCTGTTCTAGTATGCATATAAGATATTTGGTTAATCTCTTCCCACCCTGCCCCCTCCCTCCTTTCCTCTGAGATTCATCAGTCTGTTCCATGTTTCCACGCCTGTGGTTTCTACTCCTGTGTTGGGCATCTGCCCCCCTGGTGGTCAGTGTGCGTCATAGCTACTTTCGGTCCCAGTCAACCAGTCACTTAGGCATCTAATCTAATAAAAGAGAAACATACAAATTGACCGCACCTCTGCTACACCCCAAGCCACACCCACCAGCCAATGAGAGCAACTATATGCAAATTAACCCAACCAAGATGGTGGCCGGCAGCCACAGAGCTGGAACAAGCAGGAGGCTTGGTTGCCCTGGCGAAGGAGGAAGCCAAGCTTCCTGTCTGCCCTGGCCAGCTGTAGCCTCTGCTCAAGGCAACAAAGTTTCAATTATAGAAGATAAATAAATCCCAGATACCTGCTTCCAGCCAGCCTCCAGTGGGAGCTTGGGTGGCTGGGGGCTGCTGCCAGCCTGCAAACAGCCATCAGCCCCTCACCCAGGCTGGCCAGTCACCCCAGCAGGGACCCCCACCCTGAAGGGGCTGTGGCCAGCCTGCAAACAACCATCAGCCCCTCACCCAGGCTGGCCAGTCACCCCAGCAGGGACCCCCACCCTGAAGAGGCTGTGGCCAGCCTGCAAATAGCCATCAGCCTCTCACCCAGGCTGGCCACATCTTCAAGGGGTGAGGGTCCCCGCTGGGGGGCTTGGCCAGCCTGCAAACAGCCCTCAGCCCCTCACCCAGGCTGGCCAGGCACCCCAGCGGGACCCCCACCCTGATCCAGGACACCCTTCAGGGCAAACCAGCCGGCCCCCACCCATGCACCAGGCCTCTATCCTATATAATAAAAGGGTGATATGCAAATTGACCCTAACAGCAGAAAGACTGGGAATGACTGGTCACTATGACACACACTGAACACCAGGGGGCAGATGCTCAATGCAGGAGCTGCCCCCTGGTGGTCAGTGTACTCCCACAGGGGGAGCTCTGCTCAGCCACAAGCCAGGCTGATGGCTGCCAGTACAGCAATGGTGGTGGGAGCCTCTCCCGCCTCCTCAGCAGCGCTAAGGATGTCTGACTGCAGCTTAGGCCTGCTCCCTGCTGGCAAGTGGACATCCCCCAAGGGCTCCCGGGCTGCCAGAGGGATGTCTGACTGCCAGCTTAGGCCCAATCCCCCCAGGGAGCGGGCCTAAGCCAGCAGGTGGTCATCCCCCAAGGGGTCCCAGACTGCAAGAGGGCACAGGCCGAGCTGAGGGACCCCCCCGAGTGCACAAATTTTTGTGCACTGGGCCTCTAGTATATACATACATACATACATACATACATATCCTATCTAATAATAGACAAACATGGTAATTAACCGTACCTCCGACACGCTTCCCATGGGCTAATCAGGGCGATATGCAAATTAACTGCCAACCAAGATGGCGGCCGGCAGCCAGGCAGCTGAAGTGAACAGGAGGCTTGCTTGCTCCAGTGATGGAGGAAGCCAAGGTTCCCCGCCTGCCGCTGCCGGCCTCTGAGCTGCACTCTAAGAAACAATGTTGCAATTATAGAAGCTAAACAAACCCCAGAAACCTGCTTTCAGCCAGCCGGGCCTCAGAGCTGGAGCTGCAACAGTGTTTCAATTATAGAAGCCATACAAACCCAGATACCTGCTTTCAGTAGCCGAAGTCTCAGCTGGAGCCGAGCCTCAGAGCTAAAGCCGGCTCTCAGTTCCAGTGACAGCCATAGATGGTAAATAAATCCCAGGGGGAAAAAAACACAGAAAAAAAAAGGAGGGGCTGGGAGCTTCAGTTGCCCGCCAGCCTGAAAACAGCCCTCAGCCCCTCACCCAGACTGGCCAGGCACCCCAGTGGGGACCCCCACCCTGAAGGGGGTGTGACCAGCTGCAAACAGCCATCAGCCCCTCACTCAGGCCGGCCAGGCACCCAAGCGGGACCCCCACCCTGATCCGGGACACCCTTCAGGGCAAACCAGCCGGCCCCCACCCATGCACCAGGCCTCTATCCTATATAATAAAAGGGTAATATGCAAACTGACCCTAACAGCGGAAGAACTGGGAATGGCTGGTCACTATGACACACACTGACCACCAGGGGGCAGACGCTCAATGCAGGAGCTGCCCTCTGGTGGTCAGGGCACTCTCACATGGGAGGAGCTCTGCTCAGCCACAAGCCAGGCTGATGGCTGCCAGTACAGCAGTGGTGGTGGGAGCCTCTCCTGCCTCTCCTGCCTCCTCAGCAGCGCTAAGGATGTCCGACTGCAGTTTAGGCCTGCTCCCCGCTGGCAAGTGGACATCCCCCGAGGGCTCCCAGGCTGCCAGAGGGATGTCTGATTGCCATCTTAGGCCCAATCCCCCGGGTAGCGGGCATAAGCCAGCAGGTGGTCATCCCAAGGGGTCCCAGACTGCGAGAGGGCACAGGCTGCGCTGAGGGACCCCCACTCCCCCCAAGTGCACAAATTTTTGTGCACTGGGCCTTTAGTGTGTGTGTGTGTGTGTGTGTGTGTGTGTGTGTGTATATATATATCGGGCATATTTAAGCACCTCATACCCATCAACCTATTTAATTCTCACAACAGTCCTAAGAAGAAGGTTATGATTAAGCCCACCTCAGACTTGAGGGAAGGAAGGTGCAGAAGGGCAAAGGTTAAGTCCCTC